GTTGCCGGGAACTCCCTGGGGAAGCAGCCCTGGAGTTGCCCCTCCCCTGACCTGCCAGGTGGGTTTGCCCTGGGATCAGCCGTGGCCAGGAGGCCCTCAGCCGCCCCACGCCCGTGACTCCTGGCTCGGCCACCTTTCCTCCCTTCCCCGCTTTCTTGCCCCAACCCTTCCCCTCTCCTGGACTTTGGGGTCTCTTGGGGGGCTGGGGTCCACTCTAGTAGGGCTTCGGGGAGGACTGAGGCCCTGGCAGAGGGTGGAGAAGGGGGCAGGGGCCAGGGGGCGCCTAGCTGTGCAGGGCCAGCTGAAGGAGGCGTGGGGGTAGGGTGCAGGGGCCAGGGAGCCTCCCTAGCACAGAAGGAGCCCCCGCGGAAAACCCAGCCCTCGGAAAAGTGGAGCAACAGTGGTTGGCTCTGAGTGGACCGTGCCCACCCCAGAGGCAGGCCTGGTGGCCCAGGTGGGGCTGAGGTGGGGAGGCCTGTCTTCTTGGGGGCACAGAGGCTGGAGGGTATCACAAACGGCTGGGGCTGCTGAGGCTGAAATGCAAAGGAATGACAAAGACGAGGCCGGGTGAGCGAGAGTCCCTCTGCACACCGGGCCCTGCGGCACCCTCCAGAACTGACCAGCCAACCAGCTCAGCCCTGGCTTGGCCTCATCCAGGCGGGGCCCGGCCAAGAATGTCTCCTCCTCCGCACCCCCGTCTCTTCCTCTCCAGAGCTCTCCCATCTGACGCTGACCCTGCCTGGTCTCGGGAGGTGCTCCAGATGGACAGGCAGACAGATAGAGACTTCCTGGAGGAAACACACCTTTTATCAGGGCGGGGGGCTCCCACTCTGTGCTCCGGGGCCCTTCCCGTGGTGGTGCACGGTGTTCTCTGAGGGCATAATCACCCACAGATGCAGGTATAGCTTGTCAGAGCCCTTGTCACTGGGCGTGAGCAGCTGGGAGTTCTCCCTATAACAAATACTGCCATCCGCCATGGCGGATGACGTGCACGCCTGTCTTCAGCTAAACATGGATCATTTCCTCAGGATAGATGCACCGAGTGGAAGTGGTGGGTCAAAGTCTGTGCAGCCTTTGTGTTCGCAAATTAGAGGCGGTCCTCACGCTGGCAAGGAGCATCAGAAACTGCCAGCATCAGCGTTTCATCAGCATTTGTTTGACTGAGACTCTGCCCTCGTTGACTATAGGCACATTTCACACGTATTTTTCTGTTGGGGTGTTAATTTTTCATAGATTTGTTTTGTAAAGTTGTTTCCACTGATATCACGTCTGCACATAACACTTGTTGCAAACTTTTTCCCCAGTTGGTCATCTGCCTTTTAGTATTGTTTATACTGTTTTTTTTTTTTTTTTTTTTTTTTTTGTTTTTTCTTTGCAGTATGCGGGCCTCTCACTGTTGTGGCCTCTCCCGTTGCGGAGCACAGGCTCCGGACGCGCAAGCTCAGTGGCCGTGGCCCACGGGCCAAGCCACTCTGCGGCATGTGGGATCTTCCCGGACAGGGACACGAACCCGCGTCCCCTGCATCGGCAGGCGGACTCTCAACCACTGCACCACCAGGGAAGCCCTATACTGTTTTTTTGACACGTATTTGAACCTGCTAATCGTTCCCTTTATATTTTTCTTCGTTTTTATGGTTAGAAAGTCCTCCCTACACACACACACACACACACACAGAGATCAGGATTTCTTTAAAATGGAAAATAGTGCCCAGCTCCAAGGGAAAGACCCTCCAGGGTCCCAGCAGCTCCCCGGCTCAGGAACCTTGTGGCAATGCCTCCAAAGCGTCCAGGGCCTTGCATCTGAGGAGGGGGCTTGGGGTGGGGCTCCCTTAGACTCACCCTGGGAGGCTGCCCTTCAGTTGGCTACTGGCCCCCTGCGGGTAGCAAGCGTTCAAACCCAACCCTGCCTCTCACTACCTAGCAGGACCGACTGGGCTGCAATTACAGTCCCCGTTTTCCAAGCTCTAGGTCTGTCCTCAGTGAGACGCCTCCCTAGGCCTGCCGTAAAACGGGAGTGCTCACAGGGTGTGGGAAGGGGCCCGGCCCAGGTGCTGCCCAACAATGCCGGGCCTCTTCACAATGGTTGCCAGGCAACAAGGACTCCTCTCTGGAAGGAGCCAGGTGCAGGCACAAGAGGGGCTGAAGGCAGCCCAGGCAGAGCTGAGGCGTGATGACAGCTACTCAGAAGCACAACCTCTTCCCGCCGGAACCTCACTACATCCCTGGGTAAGCGCCGGAGCCCTGTGGGGAGGCTGGGGTCCCCGAGGATGGGGGAGCAAGGCCGGGGCCTAAGGGCTGAAGGTTGCTCGGCTGTGAGGGGGGGCCCCAGAGCTGGGTCTCCAGGAAGCTGAGGCCAGAGGGTGAGGCCCTTGAGCAGGAGCCTGGGGACCCGGAAGGCCAGGGAAATGGGGGTGAGGCCGAGGGCCGGAGGGGCTGGGCAGGAGGGCTGGGGCGGGCTCGAGAGGGCCCGGCCGACCTGCCCTGCTGGAGCAGCCGTCTCAGGTGGCCAGCACGTCTGTCGAGAGCAGAAACTGGGGACAGCGCGACAGCTGGGGAGGCTGGCCTCTCCTTCCATAGAGCCCTCCGCGCTTTAAAGAGGAGATGAACTGGGGATTCCCTGGCGGTCCAGTGGTTAGGACTCTGCACTTCCACTGCAGGGGGCATGGGTTCGATTCCTGGTTGGGGAACTAAGTTCCTGCATGCCGCGTGGCCGAAAAGATAAAATTAAAAACATGAAGAGGAGCATGTGGAGTAAACTGATGGGCACCGACGCCAGGCCACCTTGCTAGGTGTCCCGCATGCCAACAACAGAAACGGGGGACTCCCCTGGCCGTCCAGCGTTTAAGACTCTGAGCTTCCACTGCAAGGGCCACGGGTGGGATCCCTGGTCAGGGAACTAAGATCCTGCGTGCTGAGCGGCACAACCTAAACAGGCCTCCAGAGTGTGTGTGCACACCAACGCACACTCAGACCACGTGCAAGGAAAAGGCTGGGAAGAACCAGACCCAACCCTGGTGACACTGCAGAGGCTCTCACCTTCAGCCCCAGCCTCGCGCAGCTTGTTGACTGACAAACCTGCATCCTCTTGAGCAGTTTTTAAGAGGAAAGCAACGCACCCGCCTTGGATGTTACACAGGCCCCGGGCAGCAGTGGACACCGGCTGCCCTCAGGGCTTAGCCATGGTGCCCACAGCACTTCCCCACAGGCCTCAGTGACGCTCGGCTCAAGTGCCACCTCCCGCCAGCCTCCCGGGTGGCCACCATCTGGGCCCAATGCCCACCATACCTTCCTGGCGGGACCGACTCGTGTACAGTGGGCTCCCCTGTGCCTCAGACCACCCCTGCAATGCTTTCGGCGGGGGCAGAGCTCCCCGTTCCCTCATCTTTAAGAACATGTTGTTGGAAGATGGCTGGGTGGATGGGACCCCGAAGGTGGTGATGACAGAGCTCCCCTCCCGTGGGCCAGCCCTGTTCTCAGTGCTTGGCCTGTGCTGCCCATTCAAGCCCCAAGAGCCCCGGACAGCAGGTGCTGCCGTGACCCCATTCTGTAGGCGGGTCGCGGATCTTGCCCGTGGCCAGTAGGCTGGGTCCACACCGGCTCCTCTCTCCTCCACAGCTATGCTGGCTTCTACCCGCAGCTGCGCTACCAGGTGGGGAACACCTATGGGCGCACTACGGCACAGCTGCTCACGGACGCCAGCGTGCCGAAGAGCCCGTGCTCCGTGCTGTCCCCCATAGCCAAGCCCAAGTCCATCGAGGACTTCAGCAAGTCCAAGCCACCTTTTGCGCCCTGCCGTGAACTGACAGAGCCCTACGTCTCCCAGTACACCAGTTAAGCCGCCGCCCGCCCACCGGCCCTGCAGCCCCGGGGACGCCCCCATGCCCTCTGTGGCTCAAGGCTGCCCTGTCCATACAGGTCTGAAGCCCGACAAGAACTCTGAGATCCTGGGCCGGTGCCCACCCTGGGAGGTGGATGCCCAGGGGCCGCTGGGAGGAGAGAATGTATCCAGGCAAGTCCCACTGCCTGCAGGCTTCATGGCCTACCCCCCCTACCCTCCCTGCCCACCGGGCAGGAAGGGGGACTCCAGGAACCTTGGACACCCGGGCCTGCGGTTGGCATTAGGGGAAGAGGCCTGGATGAGCGCCACCCCTGCCCGTGAGGCCCCCACGCAGTACCAGGTAACTGAGAGACACACTGGGAGCACTGGGATCAAGCCTCACCAGAGCCAGAGCCTGGTGGGGGCTGGGGCGCTGACTTGCCCCTCCCCATTCCAGCTGTGCCCCTGCAGGAGGGAAGAGTGCCCAGCCCCAGCCCACCAGCAGGAGACACTACATGTGGGCAGCTTCCACAGGCCGCCCCAGATGGACCACCCCGACCTGATCCAGCGCAAGGCCATCTCAGGTGGGTGCCCGAGGCCTGGGCACGACACGCCTCCGGCAAGGCTCCAAGGGCCCAGGCAGGACCTGGGGAGAGAAAGTGAGGCTGCCCATGGGCCCTCCCCAAGACTGGGAGCTCCTGCTGGCCCATTCCTGCCTGTTTAGGCGGAGAGGGGAGTCCAGACAGACTTCCCTAACCCCCTGGGAGCAGGTGCGAATGCCCGGGGTGGGGGAGATGGGCACGATTGGGAGCGGGCCCCTGGCTCCTCCTTCCCCAGGTTATGCTGGCTTTGTCCCTCGGTTTGCCTGGGTGATAGGGATGAATTTTCGCGATGGGGTCGCACAGGCCACGGATGAGTTCGACAAGATCCAGGTATGTGGACACCATCCCTGGGCGAGCACGGCGGTCTCCACGCTCTGGCTTCCCTGGAGGGAGGGGGCTCTGCCTGGCCCAAAGAGGCTGCTCCCCCTCCGCCCGCCCCTGCCCCCCAAATGTCTTTCTGACTAGGTCTTGGCTCTCTGCCCCGGAGTGTT